GGTGGCTGGGTGGATAGCACTCTCGCCTCTCAGCAAGAAGGTCCTGGGTTCGAATCCCGGTCGGACCAGGGCCTTTCTGAGTGGAGTTTGCATGTTCTCCCCGTGTCTGCGTAGGTTTCCTCCGGGTACTCCGGTTTCCCCTACCACTAAAAATATGTCCAATAGGCATGTCTGGGATGCGCCTCCTGTACTGGCGACCCCGCTCCCATCTCTGTGTGGAGTGAGAGACAATTGCCCAAAAATTAACAATTGTAAACCGCTTTGAGACTCAGATATGCAGTGAAAAGGCGGTATATAAATAAAGATTAAAGATAAAAAAAGATTACAACAAACAATGAGGATTAACCAACACTGCCAACCCGACTTCACATGTGGTGCATCTGTGCAATCTCTTTAAAGTGGTATTATGTTAGATTATTATAGTCTGTCATCGTTAAAGGGCCCTAATCTGTCATCGTTAAAGGGCCCTAATCTGTCATCGTTAAAGGGCACTAATCTGTCATCGTTAAAGGGCCCTAATCTGTCATCGTTAAAGGGCCCTAATCTGTCACCGTTAAAGGGCCCTAATCTGTCATCGTTAAAGGGCCCTAATCTGTCATCATTAAAGGGCCCTAATCTGTCATCATTAAAGGGCTCTAATCTGTCATCATTAAAGGGCCCTAATCTGTCATCATTAAAGGGCCCTACTCTGGCATCATCAAAGGGCCCTACTCTGGCATCATCAAAGGGCCCTAATCTGTCATCATCAAAGGGCCCTAATCTGTCGTCATTAAAGGGCCCTACTCTGGCATCTTTAAAAGGCCCTAATCTGGCATCTTTAAAGCGCCCTAATCTGTCATCATCAAAGGGCCCTAATCTGTCAAATTAATAAACCGTTCTTTTCCAATTCTTCTTTAACTGATAACTGTAGTCCATGGAGATTTGTATTTCCAAGTGAGTTTTCCAGCCCCTTATTGTTATCATTTCGATGTCCCGCCCTCCACCGATTTGTCTGCATATCTGGCAACCTGAGAGTGGGAGAGGCTGCAGTACCACTTTAGGCCAGGGCTGGTGCTCTGTGGACTGGGGGCAGCTCTCAGTGCCACCTCCCGACCCAGAAAGAAAGGGGTTGAAGATGAATGAATGAACATAGAGTAAACATCAGACTAACCTTTGTTTTTGTTCTTCAGGCGGCGACTGTGCCAACCTGCTGAAGAACATCGGGCCTCTCCCCGTGGACATGGCTCGGATGTACTTCGCTGAGACTGTTCTGGCTTTAGAGTATCTGCACAACTACGGCATCGTCCACCGAGACCTCAAACCCGACAAGTGAGTCCCACAGAACATTTTACAGCACGCTCAAATCATCCAAGAGACTGCGGTGGATCTCAGTCTCCGAGCGGGTTTTGGGAGAGGTTTTGATGTAACTTTATCATGTCCGCAGTCTGCTGATCACCTCCATGGGACACATAAAGCTGACGGACTTCGGTTTGTCCAAGATCGGCCTCATGAACATGACCACGAACCTGTACGAGGGACACATCGAGAAAGACACCAGAGAGTTCATCGACAAACAGGTGAGCAGCAGGAGGCGGACTTCATTCACTTTACCTTTATCAATATATCGTCACACTCCTAGTCTCCGTAAACATGTGGACCTCCTGAATGTGTGTGTGACCTCCTCTGGTGCAGGTGTGTGGGACTCCAGAGTACATTGCCCCGGAGGTGATCCTGCGGCAGGGCTATGGCAAACCCGTGGACTGGTGGGCCATGGGCGTCATCCTCTATGAGTTCCTGGTCGGCTGCGTGCCTTTCTTTGGGGACACTCCAGAAGAGCTCTTTGGACAAGTCGTCAACGGTGAGAGGATGAAGGGATGGAGAGAAAGATGGATAGATGCATAGGGATAGAGAAAGAGAGAGAGAGAGACTCATAGAGCGAGAGATAGAGGGATTCGGATTGAGAATGTTAAAGATGGATAGAGATACATGCATAGGGAGAGAGAGATAGATACTGTAGATGCATAGAGATTGAGAAAGAGAGAGAGACTGATAAAGTGAGAGATAGAGGGATAGGGATTGAGAATGAGAGAGATGGATAAAGAGATAGATGCATAGAGATTGAGAATGAGAGAGATGGATAAAGAAATAGATGCATAGAGATTGAGAATGAGAGAGATAGACGGATAGAGAAAGATAGAGAGGAATAGGGATTGAGAAAGAGAACGATGGATAGAGATTTAGAGAAAAGGGAGAGACGGATGGATAAAGAGATAGATGCATAGAGATTGAGAACGAGAGAGAGAGATAGACGGATATAGAGAGATAGAGGGAAAGGGATTAAGATAAAGAGAGATGGATAAAGAGATAGATGCATAGAGATTGAGAATGAGAGATAGATAGATGGATAGAGAGAGAGATGGAGATTGAGAAAGAGATGGATAGATGGAAAGAAATAGAGCTAGATAGATATAGACGTTTAGAAAGTACTCTCTGGAAACGGGGAGAACAGCAAAAACTGAGCAAAATGAAGAATTATTTACCATGTTTCTGTCTTCTTTGTGCCATGTACCGTCACTCTCTCGATCAACCTCAGGATCCAAAACAAAATGTCCTCTCTCTAAATGTCCTGTTGACGTGTTGCAGATGAGATCATTTGGCCTGATGGGGAGGACGCGCTGCCTGCTGACACCCAGGACCTGATCACCAGACTGCTGCGACAGAACCCCATGGATCGCCTCGGCACAGGTCTGTCACTGCATCACGGCATGACTCAGCAAATGTGGACCGTTACAGCATGACTCAGCAAATGTGGACCGTTACAGCATGACTCAGTAAATGTGGACTGTTACAGCATGACTCAGCAAATGTGGACCGTTACAGCATGATTCAGCATCTGCACCATTACAGCATGACTCAGCAAATGTGGACCGTTACAGCATGACTCAGCAAATGTGGACCGTTACAGCATGACTCAGCAAATGTGGACCGTTACAGCATGACTCAGCAAATGTGGACCGTTACAGCATGACTCAGCAAATGTGGACCGTTACAGCATGACTCAGCAAATGTGGACCGTTACAGCATGACTCAGCAAATGTGGGCTGTTACAGCATGACTCAGCAAATGTGGACCGTTACAGCATGACTCAGCATCTGCACCGTTACAGCATGACTCTGCAAATGTGGACGCTGTTTTTATCACGGCGGGACCAACGGCTGTAGATATGAAACCAAAGAAGCTAAGCCAGAGAATACCAAGACTTTCACATATAGGAGTTTCTGGGCTGTGAGGAGCAACAAAACAAAAGTCAATATTGTCCACATATAAGCCGCACCTGTATGTAAGCCGCACCACCTACATTTTAAACTAAAGTCAATATTGTCCACAATAATACAACATGATTTAATGACAAGGACAATGACAAGGACAAAAAAAAGTCCTTAAACTCGAACAGCCCAACTCTACCACAAAAAACACATATAAGCCGCATCACTATATAAGCCTCAGGGTCAAAGAACTAGGAAAAAGTTGGATTCTTTCACTAGTTCTCACGTGCATGTCACATCTTCAGACGGTCTCCTTTCCTTTCCTTTTTTTTAAACAATATTTGGTCAGCTCTGTGATGGGAGACCTCTGTGAACACCATGTGCCACAGTGGGGCGGCTGTGGCTGTAAAGGGCCAAACTGTTATTATTATTATAAGACTGAATGGTCCAAGTAGAGTTTCCCTTCAGTATAAGTTGAGTATTTGCGTGTTGGCAGCAGTAACAGTGGTTCTCTGCTGCAGGGGGCACAGCGGAGGTGAAGATGCACTCCTTCTTCCTGGGTCTGGACTGGAACGGTCTCCTCCGACAGAAGGCAGAGTTCATCCCACAACTGGAGACGGACGAGGACACCAGCTACTTCGACAGTACGTACAAACACAGAGAGAGAGAACATGCAAAATTGACTCTTCCATGTCTCTTTTCTTGGTGAGGTTTGTGTAATGACGGCTGTTGTTTTTGAAGCTCGCTCGGATCGCTACTGTCACATTGGCTCCGACGAAGACGACGAGACCAACGACGAAGAGTCTGCTCTGGAGCTGAGGCAGTTCTCCTCCGTGGCTCATCGCTTCAGCAAGGTACCGCTCTGATCAGTCAGCAACTTAGTACCACATCCCAGCAGGAAGCCTCAAGCCAGGAATGTGTAGTTATCTATAAAGGTTAAACAAGTTATCTTAAAGTTAGCTTAGCATTTAAAATTTCAACCATAAAACTACCCTGAATGAAGTTGGTAAAATAGCTGGTGTGCTGTTTCTGGACTCTTTATCTTTGAGGAGAATTTGTACCTCAGAAAGTAAATTATGTACCGCATTTTTACAGACCGAGATCACCCAAAGTGCTTTACAAAGTTCAGAGTTCAAATATCGTTCCATTCTCTCCACACGATGATGACAGAAGCGAGACGTCGGACACACTGGTCCATCAAAGCCTCCGACCAAACACCATCCATTCACTCATTAGAATCAGACCTGTTGTACATGTTTTTAGTGGTAGGGGAAACCGGAGCACCCGGAGGAAACATACGCTGACACGGGGTGAACATGCAAACTCCACTCAGAAAGGCTCTGTTCCGACCGGGATTCAAACCACTGTGTCGCCCAGAATGACAATGAACACAACGAAATGGCCCTCACACCATACATCAGAAGGGTCACGGAGCAGATTCAAAGAGAGATACAAAACACAATATCAACGCAATAATCGAACCACACAAAGAGCTCAGGCAAAACCTCGCACACCCGAAAGAAACCGGAGAAAAAGTGCAATGTCATATTTACCAAATCCAATCTAGAACCAGCAACAAAACTTTCATCGGATTAGTATTGTTAATTAGTATTGTTTTATTATTCTGCAGGTGTACAGCAGCTCGGAGCACCTGTCCGCCTCCACGCCGTCCAATCAGAGCCTGTCGTCGTCGGACCGCAGCCACAGCGAGGAGAAGGAGGACCGCTGGGATGGGCGGAGTCACAGCGAGGAGAAGGAGGAGCGATGGGAGGGACGGGCCATGCTCTCCCCCGACTGTCACAAGCATTTGGCTGTGGAGAGGAGGGGGGAGGGACCCCGAGGGAGGTGAGGCAGACACACACACCTATATACACACACACACACACACTTATACATGCACATTTGGCTGTGGAGGGGACCCCGAGGGAGGTGAGGCAGACACACACACCTATATACACACACACACACACACTTATACATGCACATTTGGCTGTGGAGGGGACCCCGAGGGAGGTGAGGCAGACACACACACAGCTATAGACGCACACACACATATACACGCACATACAGACACACTTATGCATGCACACGCACAGACACACACACAGTCACACACACATGCCCACACATACACACAGACAGACACACACTACATACACGCTCACAGACACACACTTATACACGCACACACACATATACACGCACATACAGACACACTTATACATGCACGCGCACAGACGCACACATACACACACAGTCACACACACATGCCCACACATACACACAGACAGACACACACTACATACACGCTCACAGACACACACTTATACACGCACACACACATATACACGCACATACAGACACACTTATACATGCACGCGCACAGACGCACACATACACACACAGTCACACACACATGCCCACACAGACAGACACACACTACATACACGCTCACAGACACACACTTATATACGCACACACACACACTCACACACGCACAGACATAGACAACAGACAGACAGACACAGGAACACACATAGACACAGACACACACATAGACTCGCACAGACACACACTTATACACGCACACACACACACACACTTATACATGCACATTTGGCTGTGGAGGGGAGAGGGACCCGAGGGAGGTGAGGCAGACACACACACAGCTATACACGCACACACACATATACACGCACATACAGACACACTTATACATGCACACACACATGCCCACACATACACACAGACAGACACACACTACATACACGCTCACAGACACACACTTATATACGCACAGACATAGACAACAGACAGACAAGACACAGGAACACACATAGACACAGACACACACATAGACTCGCACAGACACACACTTATACACGCACAGACACACACACTTGTAATGTCATTCAGAATGCAGTCGTGCAGTCAAAAACTGTATGTACCCAAGCTAACTCCATTCCCTGAGGTGCGCCCCCAAATGGATATGTATGGTAGTGCGCTTAAACCAAAACCTCCCATAGCACAAAATGAATAAATACAAACAAACAAACAAATCAGACATTATGATGGGAGGATAGTAAACGACTAAAATCGGCTAATATCGACCGTATAAGTCCATCATTCAGCAGTCAGTCCCACCCAGACTCTGTCCTCTTTAACGCCTGTGTGATCTCTCATGCTCCTGTTGCGGTCCCGTCCTCAGCCTGCGAGCTCGGGCCTCCTCCAGCTCGTCCCAGTCCGAGCGCAGCGCCAGTCCTTTGGTCATGAACAGCACCCAGAGCCTGGACATCATGCCACGCTTCGCCATCCCTGCAGAGGAAGAGGGTGAGGAGACCACTGGTCATGTGACGTGCGAGAGATAGATGAAATATGTGTGAGGCCTCTGTAGGAAATGTGATAAACTGGTACATTCTCTGCTGTTGGGGAAATGCCATACTTTCTGGACTATAAGCCGCACCTGTAGATAAGCCACACCACCTACATTTGAAAAGAAAGTCAATGTCGTCCACATATAGGCCGCACCTGAATATAAGCCGCAGGTTTTAATTTTGTGATGTAAAAGTTAAACGTTTAATTTTATGAACAGATAATATATAAAATGTATATGTAGAAAGTTGAAAATTCTCAGGTCTTTTTCTGTTCTCTCTCTGGTCTCTCTCTCTGGTCTCTCTCTCTGGTCTCTCTCTGGTCTCTCTCTGGTCTCTCTCTGGTCTCTCTCTGGTCTCTCTCTCTGGTCTCTCTCTGGTCTCTCTCTCTGGTCTCTCTCTCTGGTCTCTCTCTGGTCGCTCTCTCTGGTCGCTCTCTCTGGTCGCTCTCTCTGGTCTCTCTCTCTCTGGTCTCTCTCTCTCTGGTCTCTCTCTCTCTTTGGTCTCTATCTCTGGTCTCTCTCTGGTTTCTCTCTTTGGTCTCTATCTCTGGTCTCTCTCTCTGGTCTCTCTCTCTGGTCTCTATCTCTGGTCTCTCTCTGGTTTCTCTCTCTGGTCTCTCTGTCTGGTTTGCTTTAAAGTCTGTTGAGAAGAAATCTGTTTTTAAGGTAATATTGAAAAAAATGTAGTGTAGAAAGTTGAAAATTAGCCATAGCTCTAAACTCTTTTTGCATCACCTCCGTTTCAAGCTAGTTTGGTTCTATGTTGACTTTCAATGTCCCTGTCAAATAAATAACATAAAAAGTAAGTTGTCATATTCTGAGTGGCCCAAAACTAACCCCCGATATCTCTTCTTTCTTCTTCTGTGTTTTTCAGACGGCGTGGTGTCGAACTTGCGTCGCATTCGTCTAAGGAGCAACAGCACAGGAACCCGCCCGTCCTTCAGGAGAGGAGCATCCCGTCGTATCAACCATCAGCTCGAGACCCCAGACAAGCAGAAGCCCGCGGGGGGAAAGGTGCCCAAGTCTGCCTCTGTGTCTGGGCTCTCCCTCATCATCACTCCAGGTAAACACACAGACCATGGTGCAGTAAAACCACATTGGAATACACGAGCAAGAGTCCAGGACAGGCAGCTCGCAGGCGTCTTTCAGAGCGAAGCACCTCTCTCTGGTCTCTCTCTCTGGTCTCTCTCTCTGGTCTTTCTCTCTGGTCTCTCTCTCTGGTCTTTCTCTGGTCTCTCTCTCTGGTCTCATTTTCTGGTTTCTCTGGTCTCTCTCTCTCTCTGGTCTCTCTCTGGTCTCTCTCTGGTCTCTCTCTGGCCTCTCTCTGGCCTCTCTCTGGCCTCTCTCTGGCCTCTCTCTGGCCTCTCTCTGGTCTCTCTCTGGTCTCTCTCTGGTCTCTCTCTGGCCTCTCTCTGGCCTCTCTCTGGCCTCTCTCTGGTCTCTCTCTGGTCTCTCTCTGGTCTCTCTCTGGCCTCTCTCTGGCCTCTCTCTGGTCTCTCTCTGGTCTCTCTCTGGTCTCTCTCTGGTCTCTCTCTGGTCTCTCTCTGGCCTCTCTCTGGCCTCTCTGGTCTCTCTCTGGTCTCTCTCTGGCCTCTCTCTGGTCTCTCTCTGGTCTCTCTCTCTGGTCTCTCTCTGGTCTCTCTCTCTGGTCTCTCTCTCTGGTCTCTCTCTCTGGCCTCTCTCTGGCCTCTCTCTGGTCTCTCTCTGGTCTCTCTCTGGTCTCTCTCTCTGGTCTCTCTCTGGTCTCTCTCTGGTCTCTCTCTGGTCTCTCTCTCTGGTCTCTCTCTGGCCTCTCTCTGGTCTCTCTCTGGCCTCTCTCTGGCCTCTCTCTGGTCTCTCTCTGGTCTCTCTCTGGTCTCTCTCTGGTCTCTCTCTGGCCTCTCTCTGGCCTCTCTCTGGCCTCTCTCTGGCCTCTCTCTGGTCTCTCTCTGGCCTCTCTCTGGTCTCTCTCTGGTCTCTCTCTGGTCTCTCTCTGGCCTCTCTCTGGCCTCTCTCTGGTCTCTCTCTGGTCTCTCTCTGGTCTCTCTCTCTGGTCTCTCTCTGGTCTCTCTCTGGTCTCTCTCTCTGGTCTCTGGCCTCTCTCTGGCCTCTCTCTGGTCTCTCTCTGGCCTCTCTCTGGTCTCTCTCTGGTCTCTCTCTGGTCTCTCTCTGGTCTCTCTCTGGTCTCTCTCTGGCCTCTCTCTGGCCTCTCTCTGGCCTCTCTCTGGCCTCTCTCTGGTCTCTCTCTGGCCTCTCTCTGGCCTCTCTCTGGTCTCTCTCTGGTCTCTCTCTGGCCTCTCTCTGGTCTCTCTCTGGCCTCTCTCTGGCCTCTCTCTGGTCTCTCTCTGGTCTCTCTCTGGTCTCTCTCTGGTCTCTCTCTGGCCTCTCTCTGGTCTCTCTCTGGTCTCTCTCTGGTCTCTCTCTGGTGTCTCTCTCTGGTCTCTCTCTCTGGTCTCTCTCTCTGGTCTCTCTCTGGTCTCTCTCTGGTCTCTCTCTGGTCTCTCTCTGGTCTCTCTCTGGTCTCTCTCTGGCCTCTCTCTGGCCTCTCTCTGGCCTCTCTCTGGCCTCTCTCTGGTCTCTCTCTGGCCTCTCTCTGGCCTCTCTCTGGCCTCTCTCTGGTCTCTCTCTGGTCTCTCTCTGGTCTCTCTCTGGCCTCTCTCTGGCCTCTCTCTGGCCTCTCTCTGGTCTCTCTCTGGTCTCTCTCTGGTCTCTCTCTGGTCTCTCTCTGGTCTCTCTCTGGTCTCTCTCTGGTCTCTCTCTCTGGTCTCTCTCTCTGGTCTCTCTCTCTGGTCTCTCTCTCTGGTCTCTCTCTCTGGTCTCTCTCTGGTCTCTCTCTGGTCTCTCTCTGGTCTCTCTCTGGCCTCTCTCTCGCTCTGGTTTGCTTTAAAGTCTCGTTGAGAAGAAATCTGTTATTTTGAATTGCTCAGACTCACGGGGACACAGTGCCCTCTGCTGGTAGTGTCTTGTCAGTACACCGAGGCCTTTGGAGCCAGAGATAAGACCAGTATATATCTATAATTTAAATATTTGATTCACAGGAAGAGCAGAAGTATTTTTTTTACAAAAATGGAGGAAAACAAAACTCTTGTCACATTTATCAGGGTCTGTACATTCACTTCAAATACAACAGGCTAGAGTCACAAAAAGCATAAACCTCAGATGTAAATTACACAAAACGGACAATCATTAAATATTTAAAGTGGTTCTCACCCCCGCTCCTCGGAGCTTACGTTACTCACATTTCCTGTTCAAATCTTCCTCTAAATGGGCGTAGCCTGGAGGACTGAAGGGGGCGTGAACGAGACTGGGCCGTTTACATTGCTCTGGGCGGGGGGCTGCTGACGTCAGGTCCAACTTGCAGACGTCAGGTCCAACTTCTGTGCCAGTGTTGGCGCCAGATTCAAAATTCAAATGTAGTAATACATGTCGCCAGCAGATGGCGCCTCACAGACGGTTTTAGGCAGAAAGTCTAACTTTCAACTAATTTGTTGAAATACCGTTTATCAGCAAAAAAAAGTGGATTTGAGGGTGAGTTGTCCTTTAAAGGAGCAGTTTGTAAAACTGTGGCCAAAAGTGGTACTGCAGCCTCTCCCACTCTCCCTGACTCAGGTTGCCAGATATGCAGACGAATCCAGCTGGGACCATAACAGCTGAATAGACAAGAGTTTTGTCAACAACAAATCTATAACCAACTCCTTTTTCACAAAGATAGAAATCCTGGTTTTATTCCTTGTTTTGTCGTTAATGATTTGAGAATCATAACGAGACCTTTTTTAGTTCTGCGCCACATGGTACTTTACCAGTGAGATTAGCTCCACTAGGTGAGTTCTGGCGCCCAGATCACAGACTTTCTGATTGGTGAAACGGTGGAGGGCGGGACATCGAAATGAAAACAAAAACAAGATTTAGAGGCTGGAAAAATAATTTAGAAATTCAAATATCTCTGAACGACTGTTATCAGTTAAAGAAGTATTGGAAAAGAACATGTTTTATTAATGTCTTTTGACAGATTAGGGCCCTTTAATGATGACAAATTAGGGCCTTTAATGATGACAGATTAGGGCCTTTAATGATGACAGATTAGGGCCTTTAATGATGACAGATTAGGGCCTTTAATGATGACAGATTAGGGCCTTTAATGATGACAAATTAGGGCCTTTAATGATGACAAATTAGGGCTTTTAATTATGACAAATTAGGGCCTTTAATGATGACAGGTTAGGGCCTTTAATGATGACAAATTAGGGCCTTTAATGATGACAGATTAGGGCCCTTTAATGATGACAGATTAGGGCCTTTAATGATGACAGATTAGGGCCTTTAATGATGACAGATTAGGGCCTTTAATGATGACAGATTAGGGCCTTTGATGATGACAGATTAGGGCCTTTAATGATGACAGATTAGGGCCTTTAATGATGACAGGTTAGGGCCTTTAATGATGACAAATTAGGGCCTTTAATGATGACAAATTAGGGCCTTTAATGATGACAAATTAGGGCCTTTAATGATGACAGATTAGGGCCCTTTAATGATGACAGATTAGGGCCTTTAATGATGACAAATTAGGGCCTTTAATGATGACAAATTAGGGCCCTTTAATGATGACAGGTTAGGGCCTTTAATGATGACAGGTTAGGGCCTTTAATGATGACAAATTAGGGCCTTTAATGATGACAGATTAGGGCCTTTAATGATGACAGATTAGGGCCCTTTAATGATGACTTGACATGAATATCTTACATATCGCTACTTTTAGTGCGCAGGTAAAATATGGCACTACTGAACAGATATTTTTCCCTTCTGCAGATGAGTCGGGCGCTCCCCCCAGCAGCCCCAAGTCCTCCCTGTCCTTGTCGTCCAACCCCTCGTCCAGAGACTCGTCCCCGAGCAGAGACCTGTCTGTGAGCGTGAGCTGCCTGCGCCCCCCGGTGGTCATCCACAGCTCCGGCAAGCGCTTCGGCTTCGCGCTCAGGGCCATCAGGGTCTACATGGGCGACAGCGACGTCTACACCGTGCACCACATGGTCTGGGTACGTGGACCATCAAGGGATCCTGGTTTTTACTCAAAGTTCATTGACGTCTTTTTGTCTGAGACGGGGGATTTTGTTAAAACTGGGATTACAGGAGAACGAAAGACGCTAAAAACACTTACGTGGCAATAAAAATGATTGTGATTCTGATTCTCTCTCTGCTCTTTCTCTTCAGTCTCTCTCTGGTCTCTCCCTCTCTGGTCTCTTTCTGGTCTCTCTCTAGTCTCTCTCTAGTCCCTCTCTGGTCTCTCCCTGGTCTCTCTCTGGTCTCTCTGGTCTCTCTGGTCTCTCTCTCTCTTTGGTCCTCTCTCTCTGATCTCTCTCTGGTCTCTCTCTAGTCTCTCTGGTCTCTCTCTGGTCATTTAGACCCTTTTAGAATCTAATTTAGGGTAGTTGTAACAAACAGAGCTGCTTGAAAGGTGTGTGTGTGTAAGCGTCTACCTGAAGCCTCTGAATGTTGCAGTGTGTGGAGGAGAACAGTCCGGCGCACGAGGCCGGGCTGCGAGCCGGAGACCTCATCACTCACGTGAACGGGGAGTCAGTGCAGGGCCTGGTGCACACGGAGGTGGTGGAACTGCTGCTCAAGGTCACTACATGTTTACTTTTTACTGCTTCAAATGTTGCAATACAATAATCAATAATCCGTTGCTATCTCCTCCAGAGTGGGAACAGAGTCACACTGCAGACCACGGCTCTGGAAAACACCTCCATCAAAGTGGGTCCGGCTCGGAAGGCCAGCTGCAGAGCCAAGATGGCGAGACGCAGCAAGAAGAGCAAGAAGAAGGACGGCCAGGACAGGTGAGCGTCTACTGCCCAACATCAGAACATACATTTTTAATATTGTCACTGCTGTTAGATAAGATACACCTCTGATCTCACAATTTACACTTAGTTGCATTTGACTTCAATAAGATCACTCAGAATGTAAGATATATGGATCTCCTCCCTGTGATCAGAAAGTAATGAGACTATTTTATATTTGTGGGACTTTGTGGCAGTTTTGTGTTTCCTGAGGAGTGGCCCAGGATTCAGAGACATTTGCTTCAAACTAAAAGACTTTTGAGGCTCTTTGGACGGCTGTGATGTCACCATTAGTCAAGGAAAGGCAACTTAAAGTACTTCACTAAACAAGATACAGACAATCCACAGAACAGTTTTTAACCTGGAGAAGAACATTGTCAGAGAGAAGCCTGTCTCACATCATCAGGAAGACACTTTTTATTCTTATTTAACTTGTATTCTTTCCCATTGAGATTATGGACCTCTTTTTCAAGGGAGTTCTGGACAAGAAGAACCAGAGCAATGTTGACAGGCACATCCAGATCTGAGTTGCGTGCAAAAAGTCGAATGGAGATGACTGCACAGCTTTAGCTCCCAAGGAATTACTTTATTAGCTCCAAAAGATGTGGCGTTTCGGGGAAAAACTACCCCTCTGGACAAGAGGCAGCAAAAGTTACACACTACTACATGCAATTACAGATTATAATAACAGTTACATGTTCATGAGATTTTAGCCTAGACCAAACTCTGTGCCTGAGCGCTTCTCTCTCTCTCTCTTTCCCGCAGCAGACGGAGGAGCATCCTGAAGAAGCTGTCCAAGCACCCTCCCCCCGCCCCCCTGCACAGCAGCCGCAGCTTCTCCTCAGGGTTCCACCAGTCCTCCAGCGACAGCCTGTCCGGGTCCCCCACTACGAGCCTCTCTCCTGGGCCCTCCACCCCCTGCCGCTCCCCTGCCCCGGACCACTCTGGAGGTCGGTCTCACTCAGGCTTTAGTGCTGTCGGTAAAACACATGTTAACGGCGTCATTTTTTATAAACGTTAATGAAAAAATGCTGAATACTGCGTGTGTGGTGCATCAGTGTCGGCTCCAGGCTTCTACCACGGGCACGTATCTGACAAGTATCTCCGGGTCATTTCCTCTGCGGTGTCACATACACTGTAAAAACCATAAAACTGATTCTGATGGAAACATAAACGAAACAGTCGCCTCTATTTGTCAATTCAAGTCATTTCTATTGTGTTCGATAATTCTATTCACTGCAAAACACAACAAAAGCAGAAAGTGAGAAGCCGATATTAGACAATTCAAATACGGACTTTTTGGAGGCGATTGGATTAAAATTGACGTGTTTTGCTTCATCCAAACTCTTTTTACACCCAATCAAGGGACATTTATATTACTGTGAATTCTGGATTATAAACTGCAAATTAAATCAAGTTACAAGTCCTCATTTAAAATATATTTGTGCAAAAATCTCATATCATAAATGGTTTTATGTGAACAGAGTAAAGGTTGTAGTCTTTCTGCTTCACTCTGGAAGATTAGGAGCAGTCGGTCAGTGATGAGGCTTTGAGCTCTATATATATATTATAGGTGCGGTTTATGGTCCGGAAAATACAGACAATCGAGTAATCGCAATCGGTTTATTTTATGGAGGACGTCTGGAGGATGGTCTCTGCTCAGATTGGAATGAATGAAGTGAAAGAAAATGTATATTCAAGGTTTAAAAGGAAACTCCACCTCAGAAATGCAGACAATTGTGACATATTTCGTATTTTCTGATGGTTGTGTTGTTTTGTTGCAGACTCCAGCTCCTCCCCCTGCTCCAGCTCCCCTAACTCCCCCGTCCCGCAGGCGAGGCCCAGCTCACTCCACGTCCTGGGCCGCTACACCAAAGCGGGCCGCTGCAAGTCCACCAGCAGCATCCCCCCCTCCCCCCTGGCCTGCATCCCGCCTCCCAACCAACCCGTCTCCCCCCAGTGCTCCCCCTCCTGCCTGCCCACGCACCCCAAGTCCCTGCAGACCTTCCACGGCAAGACCCTGTCCCCTCCCACCATCGCCCGCCACTCTGTCCGTCCCCGGAGCGCAGAACCGCCGCGCTCTCCGCTCCTCAAGAGGGTCCAGTCCGCGGAGAAGCTAACCGGAGACAAGAGCCACGAGAGGAAGGCGTACAGCACCCGACGCCACACCATGGAGATCCCGCTGTCCGAGAGCGAGGGGCAGGAGGACGGAGACTGCGACGCTGCCTCCGGCTTCGTCTGCGTCGGCGAGCACGGACGCCAGGGCCTCAGCTTCGGGTCGCCGCGGCTGGGAACGCACCAGGAGTCGTCCAGGAACTCCAAGGAAGTGGTGGTGATGCGCAAGCTAGCTCTGTCCGAGAGAAGGGACTCGTTCAAGAAGCAGGAGGCGGTGCAGGAGGTGAGTTTTGACGACCTGGAGGAGCAGTCGCCCAGCCCCACCTCCTCGCTGCCCGGGACCCCGCCCAAGGGATTCAAGGCGTCGTGGTTAAACGTACAAGCCGCCGCGACCACCACGCCGCCGGAGGTGAAGCCACGAACGAGGGCGAAAGAGAAGGAGCCTCAACAGTGACTGGGAGCAGGATGGAGATCTCACTGAGGCCTTGCATGTGTCTGGAGAAGGGTTCAGACAGACTTTTGACCACATCGGGATCAAAGGTCTCCGCAATACGCACATTTTAACCTTATTACTGTGTGGATAGTTCCCCTCAGAGTGTTCAGTTCACAAGGTTGGACATTAAAGGAGACATACCATGGTGTAGTTGTTAAATCTCGTCATTCACGCACTAAGCGTTTTTCACCACATTCAAATCCACTATTTTCATAAACAGCAAAATTTGGGCATGAATCCATTTTTATGTCCTTGGTTGTTCTCCGTTGGTTGTTTTGGATTTGAAATATCAGTCAAAGAAGTGGAATAAAAAGTCTATATCGTTAACGAGATGAAACCAAATTAGGCCTAAATTTAGGAACCACAAAAGAATAATCAATCCTCCTTTTGTGGTAGTAACAGCCTCTAAACCAGGGTTCTCCACCTGTTATGATCGAAGAGCTACTTTTAGTCAACAGAAATGGCCCGAGAGCTACTTTTTGTTTGCAGTCGTAAGAAAACTGTAATCTATGTAATAAATAACTGCGGAAAATCATTGACAAAACTCGGGTAAAACGGTTTTGTTGGAGTAAAATGGACGAAAAACGAATCGTAGTTAAATTTCAGACCAAATTTAGGTACAATGAAAAATGCCTCCGAACTCCTGAATCCTTTGGGGAGCTACCTGAAAGGAGCTGGCGAGCTACAGGTCTTAACGCTTTCTGAAAACCGAAATTCCTTCTCAATTCAACTGACCAATGAGGACAGGGTTAGACGACAGAGATATTCAATGACACCTTTTAGATTTAGTCAAGACTCTGACTCAGAACCCAACCCCAGTGGAACCATACAGCCAGACTCGGACCAAGACTTTCAACTCTACTCAAGATCCAAGTATGTCTTTGCCTTTTGCAGTAAAACCCCATTGGAAAAACTGTGCAAGACTACCCCAGGACGGCACACACCAGAGCTCCCGCCGCATTAAACTGAGAGGGCGTGAGTGACGACGGGAAGCGACTAGAACATGGACAAAAGCTGTGAAAAGTCGTCATTTGTCTCCTTTAATGTCCATTTTTGTATTTTTTGCGACGCTACTCTCAAACCCCAAAACCTTCTTCTTTCTGCTCGTTCTTCAGTTTACGAATCACTGTGGCGCCCATTTGTAAATAGCTGTGTTTTTAACGAAGAAATGTATTTAAGCTTTTTTTATCGTTTGGCGCTGTCCAGGCCTCAGACGCAAAAAACCTCAATCTGTGGGTTTTTCATTGTGCGTTTTTCGGTGGTTGTGTGTTCTCACGTTGTCGGACTGTGGTGGATTTGGATGTGTGTTTTTAGATGAGACTCGCTGCGGTGCCAAAGATCGCTCTCGTGATTAAAGGTGGTGTTTGTCCATGTGCGTAGAAGCCTCGTGTGTTGTATGTTAGACTTCCACAATTCAGATTTAAGTTCACGCACGACCGGGAAATGGAAGGATTTACTAAAGCAGCGAATTCATCCGACGACCAGCGCCAATATATCTGCAATAAGTGAAATATTTAGACCTGTAGTCATCGGTAAACTCTGGTCCATGATCATCTCCTACATGTACGTCTGGTCTTACCATGTGTAAACTCTGGTCCATGATCATCTCCTACATGTACATCAGGTCTTACCATGTGTAAACTCTGGTCCATGATCATTTCCTACATGTACGTCTGGTCTTACCATGTGTAAACTCTGGTCCATGGTCATTTCCTACATGTACGTCTGGGTCTGATCCTAGTGGCTGCAGTTTCCTCGGTTGAATCCTCTCCGACCAATCAGAGAGCGGGGGAGGCGGGTGTTGTAGGTCGGTGTCGGCAGTGTTGCCAACTCCTCAGTAAGGAAAGTAGCTATTGGCTGTCCCAAAAGTCGCTAGAAGTCGCTAAATGACGTCATCGCCTAATTTGCATAATTGGCAATTTGCAAATAACTGTAACGGACGCTGTAGGAGAGAGGAATAACGTCGTGGGAGAGACAAAAGTGAGTAAAAACACCCTAAATATGTTTAGAACTACAAATGTACAAAAATAATTTCAACATTAACAACATTTAATGATTTTAATGCTTTGTCTAGATCTGTCGCTAGTCGCTTTTTTGAAAAAAAGTCGCTATAGGGTCTGAAAAGTCGCTAAATCTAGCGACAAAGTCGCTAAGTTGGCAACACTGGGTGTCGGTGACGTCAAGAGTTTGTGCTGAATTTACTGGTTGTAGTTTGTCAGAGAATGCGATAGTAAAATAATCTGTTCTGGTTCAATCCAAATATCAAGAAACTGAAGCCGGAGCAAGAGGAATGTTTAGTAAATGTCATTGAGGCAAAGATGTTGTGGCTCTACTCCCCACGGGCTCCGTTAGCGGCAAAGGAGATGGCTAAAGCTAGGCTACATGCTAAAGCTAGGCTAATGCTAAATGCCTCACTCACTCGGGCTCATTACATACGTCACAGTTAACTCAGATCCAATGGTTTCAATCTGTAAAAGGAGTTGACCCCTCCCACCTGTTCACGGAGTCAATGGAGCAAATCCAGACCTTAGTATGAAATGAAATGAGTACCATGGTGTGGTCAGACCAGGCTAGTGTGGAGGTAGTAGACCACTTTAAAAAAGGAAGAAAAACTGTCAAACTCAATGGATTGATGCATAGTTGTCCCTCCATCTCCGGTCCATGTGAACAGACTCTCACTGGTTACTGTTTTATGTAAACCTGGTAAAACTGAACAACTCAAATCCCAGACCTGGATCTACACACACTTCCTCAATTCAATCTATTCTTGTATTGCCCTAAATCACAACAGTTATTATCTCAAAGGACTTTCCAAAACTGTGATCCATTGGTCCATGAGGAGCAGAGACCAAAGTCCATGAATGTGGTTGCATGTCCTGGATCATCACCTCTGACCTCTGACCTCGGACTCTCCTGCTTCGGGAACGACAAACCACACAAAAAATCCCAGCGGGAGAAAAGTGGGAAACCTCGCGGAGACCCTCACTGAGGGGTCCACTCCAGTGTGTCCTGGGTCTTCCCCGAGGCCTCCTTCACACAGAACAGTACATAGATGGCTAAACAGATGGATCTTTTTGGTTTTGTAGGAGACATCCAGGTGTCCAGCAGCAGAAACACACACATACATAAATGCATCATTATAAAAGTTACTAACAATAGTATTAAAGTGACATGTTTGACTCGGACAGATCTGTTTATTTTAAAGCAATAAAATCACCTACAGTCAGTTTGGACAAGGCACTGCCCTGACACCTGCACCATTTTCTCAGCTCCACTGCCCAAATTTCCCGAGACATTTAGATCGATACTTTATTGATCCCTGTAGGAGAAATTCAGGTGTCCAGTAGCAGCAAAAATAAAATTGATCATTCTAAAAAGATAACAATAGCCACAGGTCTTCATATCACAGCAGCAGAGGTGGAGTAGCCTCTGGGTGGAGCAGGACGGGTCACAGCAGCAGAGGTGGAGTAGCCTCTGGGTGGAGCAGGACAGGTCACAGCAGCAGAGGTGGAGTAGCCTCTGGGTGGAGCAGGACGGGTCACAGCAGCAGAGGTGGAGTAGCCTCTGGGTGGAGCAGGACGGGTCACAGCAGCAGAGGTGGAGTAGCCTCTGGGTGGAGCAGGACGGGTCACAGCAGCAGAGGTGGAGTAGCCTCTGGGTGGAGCAGGACGGGTCACAGCAGCAGAGGTGGAGTAGCCTCTGGGTGGAGCAGGACGGGTCACAGCAGCAGAGGTGGAGTAGCCTCTGGGTGGAGCAGGACGGGTCACAGCAGCAGAGGTGGAGTAGCCTCTGGGTGGAGCAGGACGGGTCACAGCAGCAGAGGTGGAGTAGCCTCTGGGTGGAGCAGGACGGGTCACAGCAGCAGAGGTGGAGTAGCCTCTGGGTGGAGCAGGACGGGTCACAGCAGCAGAGGTGGAGTAGCCTCTGGGTGGAGCAGGACAGGTCACAAGGTGGAGTAGCCTCTTGGTTTGGACCATTTTCTCTGCTCTAGTCCAAAGTAACACAGTAATTTAGGCAAATACTTTCCTTGTCTCTGGTATTTTTTTCTGACATGGACATTTGTTTACGTTTTATAATCTTAGAGCCGAAGGAACAAAGAATCTCCTAAAACGTAGCGTGAATATCGTCTTCAGAGACTTAAACAAACTTAACCTCCTCCAGAGCGTCGGAGACCGAGGAAGCTGCTTTGTCGTTGCCATGTTTGACACAGACCGACCATAATCCAGTGACCAGTGAGTGTTGCTTGTATCTGGCACCCTCTTCGTGTGAGTGTGTGTGTATGTGTGTGTGTGTGTGTGTGTGAGTGCGTGTGCGTCGTCGGATCATCCCTCCGTCCTCCGCTCCGATTCCGTCGTTAGCTTGTACAGTGTAGCGTCTGTTGCTAACCCTTCAGGATCCGTGTACATTACCCACTGTTTACATATCGAGTGTTTTGAGCGTGTGTCATTTTTGTTAAATTATTCTACAAAAAAGAAGAAAAAAAAGCAGGTGACGGAGAATGAAGGATCGAAACCGGAAGCCTTGTGTGTGCGCGAAAATGACGACCAAGAAGAATCTCGTTTTTGTGTATTTCTCGATCTTGGAATGACTAATAATGAAGTGTTTAGCTGTCGATGTGCGTCACTTTGGACCTTAAAGGGGACGGTCGCTTTTAGGAAATGGACCTTTAAACTTCAACCAGACTCCAAATACCCAACTGTAATCTTTACTTTTGGTTTCAGCTCCGAACAAACTTGATTAAAACTCACGTTAATCTGAAAGTTTCTCGTCTCTTTGCTTCTTGTTTCTGGAATATTTTGACGATTTGACATTAGCAGAAGCTGAATTTATCGTACATTTATCTCTCTGAGTTTAGACTGACCTGACAGGAGATTAGAAGCAAAGCGATTGTGGGCGGAGTTAGAGGGAGGAGACAGAAGCAGCTGTGGATCTAAATTCAATGTTTTTCTTTCTTTCATTCA